AGTTCATTCACTGATTTTGTTCTACAAAATGTCTGGAACATTAAGAATTTACTTCTTTACAAAACTCTTGAAAATGCATTTTGTGGTGTTATGATGTTTATATTGCAGCAGCCATGCTGAATAATAAGTGTTCCCGGTATGCTTTGCTGCACGTCTCAGGTGAGCATCCTTGCTAGCCTTTCTATCCTGTGAGAAATCTCTGCTGAAATAGCCTATATACTGTATATGTATATGTCGCTATTAGTGTGATGCGAGGAATGCCCTTATTTCCTGATAAAGGGAATTAAATTGAGGAACATGTTTTGTGTCAGAAAGCTAATAAAAACCTAAACTTTTTCAGCCTAAGGATTTTGTTGATTGGTGCACTTAAAAAACAGACAGCAAGCTGTAGTGAATGGACTTAACTGATACTCAGACTGAGTCTCATAGGTCTGTCCTTCACTGTTGACTCATCAAGAGAAAGTATAGTAAATCAAAAGAAAACTCATCTGGCACCTTGAGAATACCTTGAGAGTTGCTCCCCTTAAAATGTAGTATAACAATGTACAACAGATTTAAAGGAAAAGTCCAACATTCTAGGAAATTTGCTTATTTGCTTTCGTGCTGAAAGATTGTTGGTTTTTATTTCCCATCAAATTTGTTTATAAAAAAGTAGCTTTACTTTTGTAATGTATCTGAAGGCCAGAACTAGTCAAACGCTTCAAGAACAGACACACCAAACAGCACAATATTAAGCTGGTCAAACTAATTGTGGTTATTTTAAGTTCACAGCCTGCCTAAAAAAGAAATATTTCTATTTTCAGTCTAATGCTATTCACAGATTTCCTCAAGGACTTCTATCTAAAGCCAGCTGGCCTCATATCAGACATAGCTGGTTTTCACTGTAAGTAAATGCTAATGAGCACAAACATGCTTTTGTTCAACTTTTACAAACAGGAAATGTGTGCTCTGTTGCTGATAAAGTATTTCATCCTAAATCTGTCGCCATGTATGGGCAGCAAAGTGCCTGGGGGTTCGTCTGGAACATCTCCCAAGTTCTCCCTCTCTGTCTAATTGACTTTGGACTGCCTTTTCTAGCTGAATTAGGTTTGATGCAATATTTTTGTTCCAAGAACTAATCAAATGAATGGAATGACATGGGCTGACTAACAATAATTATTTGGCATCAACCACTGTTGTATGTTGGACATTATTATCCAGACAATAACTTGCTGCATTTATAGCTTGCTAGAATAGTTATAGCATACTCTGCCTTCAAACTGAAGTAGAATGTATCCTCCATATCTGACTGTATAATGACACACTGAGTACAAAAGCATGATTTCCATAACAGTAAAGATAATGAGTCACACTCCCAGTCTCAGTCCTGCCTCCGTCCCATGTTTTCCCCAGCTCTGGACTTTTCTATTTTTCATTCCACAACCACCTCTCCAGTTCCCCAGATTATCTTTCCAGCCCTGCCTTGCCAGTCCTGTAACTCTCTCATGCTCCACACCTGTAGCCACTTCACCTTTTAGTGCACTCAGATGCTGGCCACCTGCCCATCCTCCAGAGGGATTCTGCCTTTGCTGTTAGCCTCCTGCCTGTCCATCAGAGGGGTTAGGGCCTTGGCCGCCTTTCCAAGTGACCTTCATTTTTTGTCGTGTTCCATGGCCGCCCTATTGAGCATTCTATCTGGTCCAGTGGACATCCTCTTTAGTGGGAAATGGGAGGAGAAGTGATCACCAGTGGCCAGAGATCTGCAATGCTACTGGTTGGCCTGCACTATACCATCCAGACAGAGGGCCTCATCAACCCCTCTGCTTGGCAGGACACAGCAGTGGACAGCTGCAAAGAGGAGAGTTAGCAGCAAACCTCTCCAGCAACCAAGCGCACAACTACACATCAAATTTGCATTGCTGCTGGAGGAACCTGGATCTTCATCAGATGAACTGAATAACCACTGATCCTCATACAACAGAGTAATCAGAATCAGTTTTACTGGCCAGGTGTGTTAAACACACAAGGAAATTGACTCTGATAGAGTGGCTTTCAGTGTGGATGTGCAATGCTCTTCCATAAGGCAATGAGTAAACAAGTAAACAGGATAAGGCTGAGAAAACAATAAAAGAAAAAGAACGTGCAAACAAAAAAAAAAGGAATGTGTATTAGGAAAATAAAAAATAAAAATAAAGTACTTATAAATATAGAAATACAGTATATTCATCAGTGTGACGGTGTGGGGAAAGAAACTGTCCTTGTTTCTGGTTGCCTTGGCATAACAGTGACCTGTAGCACCGTCCAGAGGGGAGGTGTTCAAATAGTTTGTGTCCAAGATGTAAGTGGTCTGCAGAAATCTTCTCTGCCCTCCTTTTGACCCGTGAGGTATACAGGTAATCCATGGAGGGCAGGCTGGCACTAATGATTCTTTCTTCAGTCCTGACTGTTCGCTGGAGTCTGTTCCTGTCCTGTTTGGTTGCTGAGCCAAACCAGACAGTGATAGATGAGCAGAGAACAAACTCGATGACTCCTTTGTAGAACTGTCTCAGCAGCTCCTGAGGCAGGTTGAAGAACTAGAGGCAAGGTGAACCACAGCACCATGAAGACATAGCGCAAAAAGTTTGAAGAAGAGCTTATACCATAAGGGACATCAGGGTCAAGAGACTCGGCACACCACAAACTTAACCCTTCCCCCGCCCAACTCTCCCCTGACTCCTTTTCAATGCCCACCTCCACCTCTGGCTTTAATTCCCCAGCCAAACTTAACACATGTCTCTCAGTCACGATGCCATCCTCCCCCTCGTCCACAACAACACCACAATCATCTTCTATCTCACCAGCCTGATAAAATCACAGCACGTACAGTTACAAGAGATTGTGTACAAAATACTTCTCTTAATGATGTCTGTTGGGTCCAGGTCACAGGGATGATGGCACTCATGAGTGTTCCCAGGACAAACCCAAGGCTTGATAGGCAACATAAAGAGAATGGTGCATGCTGCTCAGTCATCATAATTAATGGAAAAAGTATTGAGGAACCTATTTTAATTCAGATAAACAACTTTTTAAATGTAAACGGCCTTTGAGACAGTTTCCAGTCTGGCTTCACACAACACCACAGCACTGAGACTGCACTGATAAAAGTGGTAAATTACATTCATGTCAGTGCTGACTCAGGTAAAACACTCAGGTAAAACATTAGTTTTGATGCTGATTAATCTTAGTACAGCCGCTGAACTTTGGACCATAAAATCCTTCTTGACAGACTGGGAAAGTGGGTGGGATTATCAGATACAGTCCTCGGTTGGTTCAGAACATTGGTTCATTGGTTCAACATTTGTTGGTTCAGCCTGTACATGCTCCCGCTGGGTCAAGTCATGCATGACAGCAGTGATGCTTATCACAGTTATCCAGATGACACTCAGAATTAGCTATTTCTCTAAGTGATTGTGGCCCCTTAGACTCATTCTGTCAGTGCTTAGAGCAAATACATACCTGAATTTAATTAAATTTCCTTCAATTAAATAAAGACAAGACATAAATAGGTTTTTTACAACAAGAAAAAAATAGTGAAAATCATTGCCCAGCTGAATTGTAAACAATAAACACAAAAACTAGTTAGAAATCTTAGTGAATTGATTGCCTCAGGCCTGAGTTTCACCAGTCACACACAGACAACATTTCAGGATGCTCAGTCATGCCTTCATCTCTGGCAGGGTGGATTAGTGTAATGTTCTTTTGTCTGGTCTTCTAAAAACAAGAACCAGGAGAAGTAAACACGTCATTGCTGTTCTTAAATCTTTACACTAGCAACTAGATGCTGTTTCTGGCATCTGGAATTTTTGCCTGTCTGTTCTATTGCTCAGCTTGGACATTTTTCTGGTTTCTAACCCCTGGTTATAGACTTACTCTGCTTCTGAATCTCCCTGCTCATTTTGTCATCCTGGACTCTTTTTAAGCATCTGCTATTTTGGGTACAGTGATCTGCAATTGGGCCCACAACTCCTCCCTAGCTGTTTTCTTACAATACTGGTGTGCACAGACGTAAGCACACAGCCACGACCACTTACAGTATATACACACAAATTATTTATTTCTCTCTACAACCATCCTGATAAAGTGTAATAAAGTATGAATAGGTGTCAGGTGGTTGTGTATATCTGACTACAATGACTCATCCTGCCTGATACTCCTGACATGTTGTAATGGTTGGAGGCATCTGAGGTTAAGAGCTTCTTTCATCCAAATACTTGAGAATGCAGAATAAAAATGTACATTTCCCCAAACAAACAGCAAGAGAAGACAAAATACATTAGCCTTTTTGTGTGTGCAAATTTAAGTGTAGGTGAATAAGGCCTTACAGGTCTTACTCTGAGCTGTACATAGCTGTGCATTTCAGGTGAAATCCTATGAAGAATAACCAGATATGTGATTTCTACAAACTGCCTTGTGTACTGTATATGGACAAATTTGTCAAATGTCTAAATCTTTTGCTCAACAAGAATGCACTCCAGTGGTCAGGTGTGGGACTACATATTCTAACAAAACACACTGCCTTTTGATAGGGAGGTATGAGGTTGTGTTTTTTTTAGATGTGAGTACCAAGTTAGGACATGACAATGTCTGAAAAACATCTGGCATATGGTAGTTTAAATTAGATGAGCTGCCATGAAGTTCTGCATGGCAGTCACTTATTGACATACACACAATGAACTCACACTTGTAAAAACACTTTCATTTCTTTCAGTTTGTTCCATCAGAAATAAAGCTTTTTATTCACGTCACTCCACTACCAAATTGTGAATTGTTAAATAACAAGATACAAAACAAAATATTGCTTTGAAAAGAAATACTGTTAAAGGACATCCATTTAATTTTTTCATATTTTGTTGACATGTCTGCTCATCGTTTTAATAGTAAAAGAAAAAGTTGACATTTAAGCCAATATATCAGTTTTTCAGACATTCAAAATCTTGCAAATTTAAGAAGTCTTTTACAGCAGACATTTTGTCCTGGTAGGCAAAGCCCATGTGTTATTGATGACAACGTTGATGCTGTCACCCATCACTCCTCCAGCTATCATTCATTTTATTGTTTAGCTATCTGGTGTGCCTGTCAATCTGGGTCAAGTCCTGAGATTCACCATGAAATGCCTGAAATTAATTAGTATAATTCATATTTGGTATAATCGAACCCCACCTATATATTTTGTTTATTTTGCGTGTTCACCACTTTTATCTCATGGTAGATTATAAATCCAAACATGTACTGAGGCTTCTAAAACACTGCAATTTGATGGGGTTTTTTTTGAAAATTATCGGTGTGTTTTGTACCATGTATAAATGTGTATACTGTTTTAAACGCGGAAGTTCATTCTTGTCGTTTCTTCTGTTTTTTCCCCCCGAAAATATCCTAGGCATTAGGCTACTTTTTATTGAAGTAAGCCGATTTATTAGCGGAAGGTTGGGACTTCACATTCCAGTCCAGCAGGGAGCGATACTGGCAACTTAATAGCTGACTGGGTTCCGCCATACGATAGAAGAAAAATGACAGCAAAAATCAGGAAGCATGAAATTTCGGTTTTACCTGGGCTGTCACTGATGTTAGAATAGAAAACCAGCATAAGGGCGTAATGTCATTTGAGTTTATATTCTGAGATAGTTGAAGTTTAAGATAGGTTAGCGTAACTGGCAACGTCCTGTGAACTATGAAGATAATCTCAAAACCACCGACAACAGGCACATGTAACTGGCGATCTTAATAAGGAAATGTCCAAAGTTACGTATCACGGAACGACCCGTCTTATGTTTTCTACCGATGGGGAATTACAGATTAAAGTCAGCTTTCTTTAGGACTGTGGCGACTCATGGAACTGGTTTAAGTTTTTGTATCGTATGAGGTTCGATGACTGATGAGGTTAGATGGCTGATGCGATCTCGCTCAGTTCAGACGACTCCGATGTGGAAATTGTCGGCACCTACAATAAAGTTTTATCTACGGCTGATCCACTGCCTCTCAGTGCTGTGCGAGTTGATGTTGACGTCGTGAGCGCAAACGTTCCTCCGGTAAGTTTATAGATTACCGTTACCGCTTACTGTAGCTAGCTAGCCAGTTACACTACCTGTTAGCGTCCTCACGGGGACGCTGCAGTCATTGTTAACGAGAAAACACCGGATAAAACGCAGCTGCAGTTTTTTCACCAACGCTGTTTTCAGTACGTTATTTTATTTTCTCCTCAGTTTTTGTTTAAAGGAAAGGTATCGTATCAAAACGAGCTACAGTAACAGGGATAATTTTGCATTAATCTTTGAAGAAAATGTCATTTGGTAGCATTACGTTGATTCCCAAAGTGTCATTGACCTGCCCATGTTATAATACAGTACAAAAGTAGTTACCTTCTTTTTAGACACTACATTTATTATCTCGTCCTACTAAGACAGTTAACTCTAAATGAATGTCAGGCCTGTTAGCACAGCATTAACACTGGCTAGCATGTGATAAATGAGTGTCCATTGGTTATTAACGTTATGCATCTACAGTAACATGAACGTTATCGTTTGTGGTGTTAAACGTGATTTTATGTTTTTCTCGTTCGTTTTTTTTGTTAACATTAGCCATATTATCGACAACTAGGAATAGGTTAAGTAAATGTTAATTTGGATAAATTACTATATCTCCAAATATAGTAATAGTATAGTAATATTTTGTGGAAAATCAATCGCGAAACTACCATCAACCGTAACGTAATCTACCTAATACGGCCATAGATGTAAAAGGGAGCACTAACCGTTAAACCGTTAAAGAAGACTTTTTAACGGTTGACTAACGTTAGACAAAGTTATAACTCCTCAGGTACATGTTAAATTGTAACATCACCCTACCGCCAAAACAGCGGGTTTTCAGCTTAAAATATATCAGGGCTACAAATACGAGACATTGGGCACAAGATGACAGCATGATAATTTTACTTTACTGGTCAGGAATACAAAGGTAAATAGAGATTTGAGCTTTTTTTATGTTTCCTACAGTTTCCTCCTCTCACAAGGGTAACTGAAAATCATAGTTAACGTAAATTGACAACATGGCTTTTGTGTGTGCTTTTTATTTATGTATTGTCTCGGACAGACAATTATTATTATTTTGATTAGGTGAGAAGACATGTACTCTAATGTTTTGAACTGAGATTCCAACTTCCTGTTTGAATAAAGAGAATCAAAAGCTATATGTAATTATGCAAGGAACCACAACATTTATTGATGTATTTCTCAATTTTTCTTTTCCTGAATAGCGTTATATTGACCTCACAGATCCTAAATGGACTCTTCCAGACCTGAAGATACGCAGAAGACAAAATTCCACAGCAGCCACAGTGGTAGACTTGACTGAGACTGTCGTAGACTGTCGGACTGAACAGGACACAGAGAATTTGCCACCACATGACTGTCAAATAAAAAGAGAAAGTACAAATAAAAATGTATCCTCAAAAAAACAAGACTTTAACCTTCAGAAAAGCTCTTCAAGAGATGTAGCTTTTTTTGCACCACAGCAGGGCTATGGTAACCTAATACCAAAGCGAAGATGTTTAAATTCTCAAACACAAGACCAAAAACAGACCATTGAAATACTTCCTTTTCATCACACAGCAGGTGTAAAACTGAATCGCTTGCCTTTTCTTGATACTCATTACAGGGAACTGAAAACATTGCATTCTACCTGTTTAACTGAAGATTGCAGTGAAACACCACAATGCATTAGTAATCTGAGGCTGACTGGCCCAAATCATCACATGGAGCATTCACTAGATGAGCCTTCTCCTAAAATGTTGGAATCGGTTTTCGCACAGGAACAAGAGAACAGTAACAGATGTGAACAGCTACATGATAAAATACCTCAGCAGCAAGAGAGCCCAGCTGACCCTCCTTGCTCTGTCACAACTTCAAAGGAGCCATCCATGCCTCTCTCCTATCCAACATCGCCATCTTCATCTCACAGTAAAGCACAAAGAGAAATCCTCTGCTCTGACCTGGAACAACTGGAATTAGACGAGGAAGAATCAAGAAAAATCATCTCTGATTACTTATTGTCCGGCTCTCCTACTAATGAACTGAACCCTTCTGAGCATTTTGACCTCAATTCTCTGTCCCATTCAAGCCCCATAACTCAGAATGTTATGAAACATGACCCAACAGCCATCTTTGAACATACACCAGCTGAAAATGCATCTGTATGCCAAGTGGGGGACCTTAAAGCTGATGGGGCTTCAGACATCTCTGATGTCTTGTGCAGTAGCATCCCTAGTGAACCCCATTTGTCTGAAACTGAGGATATGGAAGAAGAATGTGGGCCTGGAACATGTAACGGAGATCTGGGAATTGACAGTCCAGAATCTTTCCTTTGGCAAGAGTGGAGTGACAGAGAAGAACTTAACGAAGAGAGCAGATTTGATATGGATTTCAGGGATGCCAGTAAAGAGGACAGGGATAATGTGTGCCTAGTTGCACTTAAGAAAATAATGTCTGGACCAGTTCATGCTTCGGTGAGAGACATGTCTCCTGATTTTTTTTCAGTGGGGGAAATAAGTATGCGACTCAAAATTAGGAATGGCACAGGAAAAAAGGACTGAACATGCAATAAGAAAAGTTACTAAACCAGGAGATTTCACTAGTTGGCTCTCTTGCCGATGATAATTGGAGTCATTAAAATTATCAGAACTAGAACTTCTAATAGTTGACATTTTTTTATTGATTGGAATGTTATGATTTCTTTAGCTATTTTGCCTGGTTGAATAAATACTAATGTTTTGTCCTAATTTCGTGTATAATATAATAATCAAGTATAAAAGCTGCACTGGAAATATGTTTAATAAAAAAAATGTTGACATATTGAATATTTATTTTCCCCACTGTATATTAGTATGTTTCCCTTCCTCATTAACTCATTGTGTGTGTGATTATAAGTTTGGCTGATTGTACAACATTTTTCTTTCTTTTCTTTTTTTTCTTTTTTTATTTTTTAGAATGATGCAGAAGAGGAAGGTTTTGGACCCCCAGAGGTGCTATGCCGTCAGAGCTTGAGCCTTGTTTACAGTACCATTGATGAGAACTATCCAGAGGGCACTTTGCAGCTCTTGTCTGACCTGCTACAGCCTGGTTACTATCCCCCTAGAGATATCACTACTCACTTACTCCATGGCATTCTGCTTGACATACAGTGTCCACATCACTTATGTGTGCAGGCCTTCAATCTGCTGATGAGAACGCAGAGGTGAGCGAACCATAGGAATAAGAGTTAAATAGTGAAGTATTAAGCCCTTCTGATTTAAAACTTGTATCTTCCATCTTCTCTCTCCCAATTCCATGGATTCAGAGATTAAAGCTGTTTTCTGATTGCAGACACCACATAGCTGATAAAACCACAGTCCCATGGGACTGGGAGTTGTTGACCTCAGTCATGGCTAATCAGGTACTACTCCAGGCAGTAAAACATGCTAATAAACAGTGGGTTAAAGTTGGCAGTTTATTAGAGAGGAATTGATACAACTCTGTGATCATTTTGGGTGCGACTGTGGTTCAGTGGATAAAGCGGTCATCTCCCAACCAGAGGGTTGGAGATTCAAATCACGGAGCCTGCGGTCCACATGTCAAAGTGTCCTTGGGCAAGACACTGAACCCCCAGGTTGCCCCCAATGGTTAGAGCCATCGGTGAAAAGTTGGCGTCACAGATGGCTGCCTTGGTTCTGTACCAGAAACAAATTCCTTGTGTGTGTAACATACTTAGCCAAATAAAGGTGATGATGATGATGATGATTATTATGATTATTATTATTAAGATGCAGTTTGTGGTACTCTTCTTTTTTTGTCCTCCCAATTTACATTAATGAGGCTAAGTTAAAAACAGGACCATCTCTCTGTACAATGCAGTACCTTTCAGCAGCACAAAATACAGCCTCCAAAATGATCATACCATCCTGAAGCAACAGTTACAGCAAAAACTTGACATTATCACCTTCATGAAGGGAGGATTTATTGGAGGGCTGTTATAATAGACTACATTAGTCTTAGATAGGTGTTCTCAATAAACTGCCAAGTGAATGTATATGCTGTATGATTAGTATTGTTGAACAAGGCCATACTAGATTTTTGTTGGAAATAGCTTAAATGTTAACGGTTTTGGTTTTAAGCACTGGATTACACTTAGAGATGGTAATACAATTTTCTATTGAACTGTTTTATTTGAGGAATATTAATAATAGATGCACCTAGTTGTTTTTTATATCCATGTTGTGCTTTAATAAAACAACTTTCTCACTTGTTAATACTGTATCTTCTGGAAGCACTAAAGGTCATCCCCAACATAGTGTTGCATTACTGATATCACTGGTGCTACTAGTGTTACTTCTTGCCCTAATATGCAGATGTATTTACAGCTGGACATCTTTTTTGTGATTTTTTTTTGACCATACAAAGAGATATCGGTGTGAGATTGTGCGCATGCTCCTGGAGTATGTTGTGCAGACACTGGAGGATGACTTCCAAGCCAAACGTTCTATCCAGGACCTCCACCACTCGATTGCCAAAGCAACATTGTCATGTGATCAGCACTTCCCTCAAGTCAAGTGAGTTTGACAACTAGGGGGCAACTTTGGTCTTAACCAAAGCTTTTCCCTTTCATTGTACATCATGGTCATTTACACTTTGTTTTAATTTTATTTACGTTTTCTTGAGCTCAGATCAAAACATGTAATCCGTATGCACAAATTATTTCTGCACACTCATTTTTAGAAAGTTATATACCTTTTACTTTGCTTTTTGCCACTGAGATGACAAAATGTCCCCATGTGTATTAAACACTAGCATCTTACCTTAAATACTCTACCTTTGTTGTTGTTGTTGCATGTGTGTGGATGTTTTCCAAAAACCACACCTCTTTTGTGCCAGTGAAACTCATGGCTGCTTTGGGAAATTAGGTGTAAACACAGCCTGTCAATAGCCAGGTTTGTGAGACCTTAAACATGCATTCTGTCGTGAACGGTTTTTTCAGGTTGCCAATATTTGGTGTCCTTGAAGCCAGATAATTTGACCAAACTGCTAAAATTATAACTTTCTTCAATAATAAAGGCTACAGCACTGCATATAAGGTAAAATATTTTAACTTGCCCCATGCCAGGGTGATAATCGCAACATAGTACACGGATAGCAATTAATCCAAGCTTCTATTTAAATGCTCACTTGTGAAAGTAACACTCTTGATGTTTTTTTCTTTTTGCTTGTTTCCAGGGTTGTCATCAAGTGGCTTTTTGTAGCTCTTGGAGAAAGCAGAAAGAGAGATGAGCAAATCAGGTGAATTACAAAGAAAACTTAGAGAACTTTTTTTTAAAGATGTGTTCTTGAGCAGAACGAAACCTCGCTGAGTTATATGCATTTCGTACCATTAAGACTGTTTTCTTCCTTCTTTTATTGCATTCACGTTGATAAACCCTGTTAAAAAAGCCCCACCCCTCCTCTCCTACAGAATGGTGTCCATCTTTGAGAGGATGCTGTCTCTGGCTCTGGAGGTAGACCGCTCTCCAGCTCTCAGCTCTGCCAAGCTGTCACAGGAGCTCTTCCATATGCTCATCAGCAGTGACTCTTTACGAGCACAGAGGTGAGGAGGAGAAACGAGAGAGAAAATTGAGGTTTCTATATACACCTTTAAGGCAAAGTTGAAATGTTAGAGGGAGAACTTATTTTCTTTCATTTACTTGCTGTAATTGATAGGCTTACCTTTTCCAATAATTAGCTGTGAGAATTCATGCGAGTGCCTTGTGGGATGGTCATCCTAAAGATGATGTTTGTGAACGTATCAGTGCTTTTAAATATCAGAAGCTTTTTAAATGTAAGTGTGGATAAACCAAACTGTCAGCATTAAAGCAAATCTATACAAAAATTTAGGTTTGTATTTAGACAGGATTTTTTTTTCTTTCATTCATTTTAGCTAATTTTAGGTGGGTAGGTAGGACTTTATTCATCCCACGATGGGAGAATTCCTGTGTTTCAGCAGCAATAGAGAGCAGCAACAAGACACCATAAGAACACACACCATACATCTTGAGAAACAAATTCCCAAGTACCTAAAACCAAACAGAATATAGTATTTGAGAGACAATCAAGAACAAGAATGATCTTCCCACAATTAATCCCTGAGAATAAATCAAAATACCTAAGAAGACAAGATATAGTATTCGAGAGAGATCAAGAAATCAAAGACAAGAATATTACTTCCATAATTAATCCCACAATGGGGGAAATACCTGTATTTCAGCCATGAGGATTTCTCATAAACTACTCAAAAATACCTAAAACAAGACAATATAAAGTATTCGAGAGAAATCAAGAACAAGATTTTACCTATGTGCATAGTTACAATGCATGTTACCCCCCATGATTTGAATTTAGTTAGTCATTTAGCAGTCATTTTTAAAATGGATTGTTTAAATGTTTGAACATTGTTTTAAACATACCAGTAAAGTATTTAATTATTAACTACTGAAATTTTTAATAGTGATTTCAGTGGCACAATCTGCCTCTTTTCCTCCAGTTTCTCAAGCTGTCTTTGACTGACCTGTTTCTGACACCCAGAACGCTGTTGCTGGAGAGCCTGCAGAGCAGCCTGCTGAAATATAAGCTGTTGGAACATCTGCTGGACTACGCATGCCCACTGAAAATCGCTCTGCCTATGTCGCTAAGTCTGCTGCTTCACTTTCTGAAGAACTGCACTCTGGAACCAGACCCTACGGTGAATATCAGACTTTGGCAGAAAGGCCTTTCACAGATGTTGTAGTATTTACGTATGTACCCGATTTATAATCTGCTAATACCTGTATCAGAAAAAGGTTTTGGCTGTGGGAATATGTAGAAAATGTGGCAATTTTTTGTTTCCTAATTACAAATTTAGCATATGTTTATAGGACGACACCTGCCCATGATTTTTATGAAATCTAAAAATTAGAAGTTGGCCACAACAAGCAGCTGTTAAATGCAACTGATCTACTCCTGTACTCTCCAGGATGGTATTGAAAGGTGGAAGAAATGGGAAGAGTTGGTCCATCTTCTTTGGATGTTGCTGCTCAGCTACAACAAAGCAATGAAAGGTGAGAGTTCAGTAAATCAAATACCACTACACTGCTCAACAGTATTTCCGGCAATGTCTGTGGAATGGGTGGAGATCTAGTTTAAAATGATAAAATAACTGATTGATATATACACCATGGTCCAGCACATTGTTACTCAGCATTTAAAAGAAGAAAAGGTAAGCTGGAATATCTTATCAGAATCAAAGACCTACTGTATACCAAGCGGATAAGCTTGCCAGTTTCCTGCTGCTAGGTAGCTGACAGTGCTTGGAGCCTGTGAGAAACCTCCAGCTTCAGTGAATATGCATGTGGTGTGATGCCATATGGGATTGTACTATACTGTTGTATTTGACTCTTTTGGACTGCAGATATAAAAGAAGGTGAAATTAAGTTCATACTTATATGTTATAAAGATCAAACAAGAGCTTAAGTCAAATGTCTTTTCCTTTCCACTTAATGCTATTCTTTTTTTCCTGTCACTCATTTTGATGTGGAATCACGTTCTGTATGTCTTTATACTATTTGTCACATTTGATAGTGGTGGACTTGTTACATGATTTTACATTTCTTTGCATGGTGCTTTTGCATTTATATATGGGCTTTTTAAATTCAAAATACCTGTATTAGAATATTTTTGTTCTCATGAAAGTGAAAGTATATTTTGATATATTTGGTAACTGGCATTTACACACTTATTTTAGTATGTGTTATTTCTGCTGGAGAATACATCCAACTGTAGGTTATCTAAACCTTTTAGATACTCAGTGTATCTCCCAAGCCCTTTGGTTTACTTCTGACTTCTGTCATCTGTTATCCCCAGGCTGTCTCAACAATGCAGTCACTGAGCAAAGTGGCAGAGTTGGCATGGCGTTCTACAGGGCCGAGGATAAGGTATCAAAGGAGGCCATTCGAGAAGCTATAGATGTGTTCCTGTCCAGATCCCGAGCAGACCTCGGCGAACCCTTGCCTCTCCATGTGGAAGAATCTCTCTCGTATCTACAGGATCACCTGCTAGATGTCTGTCAATGTTGACTGTTAAAAAGAAAAAACTTTATGACTGTTATTTGGAAAGAACTATAAATCAATGGATTAATTTAATATTTATAATTTTGTATGTTTGCACTGTTAGTGTTTCGAATAAAGGCTGTGCCTTGTTGCATTTTATGAAATCAAAGTATATTAATATCTGGCTTCTCTTATTTTTAATGTTTGTGTGTCATTGAGCAGATCTCCCTTGGATGTCCATACAAATCCAACCATTACATCACCTGTTTGATAGACTACACAACTATTGATAAATTGGTTAGTCTAACTGTGCATAACTTCTGAATAAGCTACAGTATATTAAACTGTGGTATGATGTCTACCCATCTCATCCATCACTCATCTGTCAAGGATTTTATTTACTCTGGTTCAACAGCTGGTTGGATCGTTTATACGCTGACCAATAGGATGAAGCGCTGTTATCGACATAGAAAAAAAAAATCCTGACAGTCGCCATGATACAGCAGCGGAAACGGGTGAGAAGTAGCTAGAAAACAAAAGAGCACGCAGTCGTCCTCGCGATTTGGTATGCTCTTGCAGGTAAAAACTGAACCTTTCCTGCTAGATCTGAAGTATTTTCATTCATTTCACCATTATCTTGTTTCGATGTTCAAAGCGCTGTGGCTATTTTCCGAAGGATTGTGACTTATTTGAATAGGAATTCGAATAATTGGGCTCTGTTAGCTTGTAGCCAGCAAGCTAAATCAAGCTAAGCTAAATAGCTCGCAATTGCTTGCAAACCCAGCATTGTGGAGCTTAGTGAGCTCATTTCCTTGCTGTTTATCTTAGCGTTTGTGATTCTTGCTCCTGGAGCGTAGCTAGCGTCAGCTAAGCAATGCCCTGTTTCGTGGCCTAGTGTTAATGCGCAAGTCAGTGCTTTACTATTATGTAAACAACAATTGTACAGTTCATTTATTATCCTTTAGCATCTTTTTGCTAACCCAACTGGGCAGAATGTTTAAGTCGCCTGCTTGGTAATTTTTCACCAACTTGTCTTTCATCTAGCTATTTAGGGCTTGACAGTTAGCGTTAGCCATATAGCGTTTGTTATGTATAGTTTGATAGCTACATATTTAGGTTAAGCTAGGCTAATCAGCTAGCGACAATGAGAGGAAAAATCGGCTAGCCGTAGCTAGGGTTAGCTGTTTCGCTAGTTTAAATAATGGAGTTTCATTTAGAGCTGTTTGACTATTTTAAACTTAATCTATATATTTGTGAACAACCGAAATTGCCAAGTTTAGCATGAAAAATATTAATCCCCGTCGCTAATTTTAATGTTGATTATGTAACTTCATAGGAAGATTAATTATACTGTATTAGCTCTATACGATCGATGGCAACTTTAACCCCATCTCGATGAAACCCCCTTTTTGCTAATGTATTTATATATGGTAGAAGAGTACAAAGAAATCTGTGCAGATATTGTTACCTGATGAGGTAGCGATATCACCTCTAACCTGATGTAACGTTAGAGTATTCCAGCTTTAGTTTCAGGTCAAAATTACTAAACTGATTTACAGTTGATGGCATATTGGGATACCTTCATTTTATTCATGAAATGGAATTTAAAATCAGTGTTATCTTTGCAGTGTTATAGGAATGCCCAAGGAAAAATATGACCCGCCGGATCCAAGGCGGATGTACACAATTATGTCCAGCGAGGAGGCAGCCAACGGGAAGAAGTCATACTGGGCTGAGCTGGAAATCAGCGGTGGGTATTGCTGGGGAGTTTCTTGTGTCCTAGTCAAAGTGGTTGTATTGAATTTGTTCGCACTCATCTTTTGATATAGCTATAGAGGCTGATCATAATAGAATGTGTTTCCTCAATTAAAATGTAATTTTTGTATTGCTGCTCACACTACGGGGCACACATATCTGCTGGATCTTCATTGTTAAAATAAGACAGATCTGCTACTGAGGCTCCTGCACATGTTAACTCCCATATAAAGCTGCATCTGAGGATTAGTGTCATCTGCTAGTTAGTTTCTTCTTTGCACATAATCATGTCTAAAAGTAGTGTTAGATCACATCTTCCGATTTCTTTCATTTGACAATAAATCCAAAGACACTCAGTTGATTAGTATATAAGACTAACACAACCAGTTTATAACCAAATTTGAATGTTTCCTTCAAAAGTGATTGTATGTATTAATTATCAGACCTGTTGCAGTTTGATTTTCTGTTGATGTACTGATCAGTTATTCAATCTGTAGTCCCATACTGGGTTTTGAAGGATTTAAAATGGGTCATTGCAAAGTAGTTTCACACCCAATACACAGCATGGTGGGTTACATCATCTGTAACCTAACATGAGTTTGTTTGCCTGTTTAAATGCAGCCCTTTGATGATGTTCAAGCATAGTCTTTATCATTATGAAATTAGTAAACCCACATTGATCCATTCACACCAGTGGGCAACGCTTTTTCTATGTTTCTTTTATCTTTGGAGCAAAGGGGTAATAGTGGAATGCTGGGACTTAATTCATTTGTGTGTGTCCTTTTCTCTTTGCCTCTGTAGGCCGAGTAAGGAGTCTCAGCACAGCCCTCTGGTCTCTCACCCACCTCACTGCCCTGCACCTCAGTGACAATTCATTGTCACGCATCCCGCCAGACATTGCCAAACTACACAACCTGGTGTACTTGGATCTCTCATCCAATAAGATCAGGAGCCTGCCGGCAGAGCTCGGCAACATGGTGTCTCTCAGGTGAGTGATTTCTCTTTGTAGTTACCCCTTAATTTGGGCACAACGGAAATTAGAAGCTGTCACAGGTTTGAAATTGATTTTTGCTTTCATATGCTACACATTAGTGCCATTCATGGCAGCGAGAGTTTTTCGGTGAATCATAGATTCATTGAATATCTGTTACTTTTTTTCTGGATTTTTATTATATTTCAAGTCTGTGTCTTGCAGTGTTTCAATTTAAATGACAGCAGTGTGATAAATAATATTTCTGTAGAGTCAGTAAAGATGGTGGTTTCTCACGAGGACCGGTTTCTGATAATCAAATTCTCCCATGCCCTTCACAGGGAACTGCTTTTAAATAACAACCAGTTGCGGGTTTTGCCATTTGAACTGGGGAAACTATTTCAGTTACAGACACTGGGCTTGAAAGGTGAGTGGCTAATCAGTGCTTTTTGTAGCCATTCTAGCCTTGAAATCCCATTGTTCTCTTAGTGATGATTCAGCCTGGTTTACTTTTCCTTTTCCAGGAAACCCACTTGCACAAGAAATTATGAGCCTCTACCAGGAACCTGATGGCACGAGGAGACTGCTCAACTACTTGTTAGACAATCTGGCAGGGGCTATCAAGCGCAGTGAGTTCCCTGTCTCTCTGGCAGCTTTGACTCTAGAACAGGAATTGCATATTGCCAGTTATTATTGTTCCAAAAGATAAGTTGATCAGTATATATAGATGGGGACATAGTGAACACTTGCTCATAATTGTGTTGAAGTCATCTTGTGACCTCACTATTCATGTTGTCATAAACACTGAACCAATTTTCCCTCTGCTCAGTGCCAACAGAGCAGCCCCCAGCCCGGTCATGGATCTCACTCCAGGAACCAGACCGAACACGGCCCTCAGGTATGGAAAACATAAATGAATATATGCACATTCTCTCTAACAAGTCAAGACTAGTAAGGATCCAAATAGGGCTGGGTGATAATGGAAAAAAAATCTTCAGAATCAGAATCTTATCACAATAATTGCTTTCATATCAGTTGATATTGAAATATATCACAATATAAATCAAATCACTATTTCTTTTTTACTCTTACATTAGATATGAAGAACATAGGTAAGTTTTGGTTTAAATATTATTTTTTGTCAGAAATTGAACATGACAAACATTCTGTAGAACATTGTACAACTGTATTTCAAATACTGTATATAAAATGGGAATATATAATAAACTAAAATCTTAATTTTGACCAGTCAAAAGCTTCAGGTGTTACAAAATGGACAACTAAATTCTTCGGTCAGTTCCAAATAAAATAGGTAATACAAAATAAAGCCTTAGTTATCTCAGTTATGGTCTGTTTTTGTTGCACAGGTACCATACTGGTAGTTTTAAGGTGGACCATCAGCACTTGCTTGGGTCTGGGACTGTGAAGTCTTGCTTGCTCTAGAGAATGGCACTGCTTCAGATGGTAGTGCATGTTACTTTGCTTCTTTTTGAACTTTAAATAGCCAGAATATCGCCACAATACCGAATTCCTTGAACCCTTCATCATCTTTTGAGCATTGGACTCTGTCCGTTGGGTCATCCATAAACCAAGTCTCTAGAACTGCCTTTCATCTGCGCAATATTGCAAAAATCAGGAGCATCGTGTCTCAAAGTGATGCTGAAAAACTGGTCCATGCATTTGTTACTTCCAGGCTGGACTACTGTAACTCTTTACTATCAGGATGTCCCAATAATTCCCTAAAAAGCCTCCAGTTAATCCAAAATGCGGCAGCCAGAGTACTGACAGGAACTAGCAAGAGAGATCATATCTCTCCCATATTAGCTTCTCCCCACTGGCTCCCTGTAAAATTCAGAATAGAATTTAAAATCCTTCTCCTAACATACAAAGCCCTTAATAACAAGGCTCCAT